CCTTTGACCCTTTGCTGACGTCACACGTGGGAAAAATCACGTGTCCACAGCATTTGGGTCAGATAGCTGAGGAAGACTGTGATTCAGTCGTAAATTCCGGTGAGTCAAATTTTGAGTTGGAGAACAGTTTAAATTTTTCATACGAAAATCAAACTGTTCTCAAACTTACCAGGAATTATTCGGTTCTTCTGCTTTCTGACAAGTGACTTTTACCCATTTGTGACGTCATCACTGGGTCAAAATTCGTCTGAAGTCGGTACCACCCCCCGTCCCGGTTGAGCCAAGGTTTTCGTAAATGGCTCCTCTTCCATGCTATCAATCAAAGCTATGTAGGCTATCATCACGTTTTAGGCATGACTTTAAAAGATGATCCGTGACTCAATATCCTTATTTTATTAGAAGTGTAGAAATATGATATTGGTTTGTTGTTACGTCTATACTGTTTTATTACTGATGCATTATGATGATGAATGCCACTTTCTTCAGGACCTCTATGTTGTAGCTGGTAGAGGAAATAAAGAGAAGGTGAAGCGACTGATCCAACAAGGAGTGGATGTCAACTGCGCCGGCTTTGTGAGTAGGAAGAAACCAGACATTTTACCACAATCCTGTTTCATCACAGGTCAGGTTAAGGGGCGGGGAGGGATGTGTACCTGTCGGGTACACACACATTTCAAGACACAGAGACGACCCTATTTAGTAGGGTCGACTTAACTAACACACTATAGTCCCCCCCCCCACATCTCTTTGCCCCAACGTGAAATAAAAAAAAATATCAGATACTGAACAAGAAATTTTGCGTGGGGAGATAACAGCCCAGAGCACAGATGGACATTTAAAAATCGGACAATAGTCGATGTGTACTACATGTGATTGACATGTCTGAAAATTGAACGAAACGCATATTAAGTGTTTGTTACTACATGTATATGGCTTTGTCCCTATGAATGATATAGTATAAATAACGTAATATAAAAGTATGTTAAGTGATAATTTAAAAAGTGTCCATAAAAAACACAAGTGCTTCTCTTACCATGTATATGTCATCTCTGTTTCTGCTGTCACAGAATGGAGACACGCCACTTCACTGTGCAGCCACAAGAGGACATGTTGGTGTTGCAGAACTCCTCCTGAATGCTAGAGCACGGGTGAACAGTAGGAATCAGGTAAGGGTTGATACTTACAACAGGTGGGTGATGGACATGTTTGAATGTTGAACATCTGGTATATACTGGTGTTGACTATGACAATGTCAATGAGGACATGCCACTCTTCCCATGTGTATTAAATGCCATCTCTGTTCTGCTGCTACAGTTTAAAGAGTCGCCACTTCACTGTGCAGCTACAGGAGGACATGTCGGTGTTGCAGAACTCCTCCTGAAGGCTGGAGCACAGGTGGACAGTAGGGATCAGGTAAGGGTTGATGCTTCCTATAGGTTATGGACATTTTGAAGCAAGTTTAAACTGCAATTTCCTACAAAAACAAATTGGACTCACCCAAATTTTCGACTGTACAACTCCAGTCTTTGTCAAGGAATAAGCAATCCACCGTTTCCGTGACGTCACGCAGATAACACGTGACTCCGTGAGCAGTGGATCATAGGTTGCAAAAAGTATGTGGCGCCCCCGTCTCTTTTGAAGGATGGTTGTAATGTCTAATGTAGATGGCCTCTTTAATCCCTCGTGCAAAGAAGTCCGGTTCTGTGTCCAAGATTCTTACTTTGTCCAGTGAGACCGAATGTCCAGGGAGACTGAATGTCCAGGCGATTCTATGTGTATATGTTGTGAGACCTCCGAAGTGGTCGAGCTAGGTCGTTTGTGTTCTAAGAACCTAGCCTTGAGGAATCTTTCAGTCTCTCCAATATAGGTTTCCTTACATGGGCCCTTGGAATTCTGTCCTTGACACTGTATATGGTAAACTACCCCACATTTGCTTTCCTTTGGTGTTTTGTCCGTTGGTGAAACCAGTATATTACTAAGGGTTCTAGTTTGTCTAAAGCAGGTCTTAATCCCATGCGTAGCAAAGATCCTCCTGAACCCTTCACTCAGGCCTTTCCTGTAAGGCAGAACAACTAGGCCTCTATTTGGGCTCTTGTTCTTGTTCTGGCTTTTGTCTGAAAGATCTCTCAAGGCTAGGTTCTTAGAACACAAACGACCTAGCTCGACCACTTCGGAGGTCTCACAACATATACATGTAGAATCGCCTGGACATTCAGTCTCACTGGACACAGTAAGAATCTTGGACACAGAACCGGACTTCTTTGCACGAGGAATAAAAGATGCCATCTACATCAGGGCATTACAACCATCCCTCAAAAGAGACCGGGGGCGCCACATACTTTCTACAACCTATGATCCACTGCTCACGGAGTCACGTGTTATCTGCGTGACGTCAAGGAAGCGGTGGATTGTTCATTCCTTGACAAAGACTGGAGTTGTACAGTTGAAAATTTGGGTGAGTTCAATTTGTTGTGTTGGAGATTGCAGTTTAAACAGATGAACTTTCAAGATTAGGTTATGAACATGTTTGAGTGTAAGCTATAATAGTAACGGGAATTTCTTACCATGTAATGCCTGTTTCTCCTGTCACAGGATGAAAACACACCACTTCACTGTGCAGCTTTAGAAGGACATCTTGGTTTTGCTGAACTCCTCCTGAAGGCTGGAGCACAGGTGGACAGTAGGATGCGGGTAAGGACTGATACTTACTACAGGTGATGGAAATGTTAAGGTGTTCAACGTCAGGCATATTAAGTGTTTACTAGCCTTAAAAATGTGAACTTCTATTGCTATGTGATGCTCTGTTCCAGCTTTTTGACACGCCACTTCACAAGGCAGCTTCAAGAGGACATGTTGGTGTTGCTGAACTCCTCCTGAAGGCTGGAGCACAGGCGGACAGCAGGGATGACGTAAGGGTTGATGCTTACTACAGATGATGTACATGTTTAAAGTTTATTATGCTAATGGTAGCCATTTTAAGGCTTTTTTTAAGGTGAAACCTGGTGCTTGTATGTTCCTATAATCTTGCTCCGGGATCCCAGGGCCTGTAAAGATTCTGTGCTTCGAATTCAAGTTCAAATTAAATTCATTTATTTACACACACACACAATCATTGCATTCCCATAAAGATCGGGCAATCGTGGTAGTGTAACTAGTAACAAAGACAGCCCCACCGTCTTACCGTTCCTGTTATACCATTTTAATAAGGAATACTTATCATAACCAAATAATCTGAAACAGTTGCCCGACATGCAGTAAACAGTTGCATAATGGTCAACAGTTGCAGTATCATTAAAGCACGACTGGACTGGCCAGGCCAAAAAACAGTCAGCAATATTTAGCGCAGTCCGTATAATCAGCAACAGTTCCAGCCAGCATAGCGAGTTAATACCGGTCAAATAGCCGGGCGATCGCGAAAACAATTCAACGACATTATAGGGATTTTCTAAAATATGCATTTACTTCACATGTCAAATTACACAGAAATGCTACGCGCAGAACAATGCGTTTTGGCTGCGAACATCTGCAAGAAGAAGAAAACTTATTACAAAGAATTGATTGAATCACATTGTAAAGACGGGAACACTAAACAGCTTTGGGCTGTTATCAACGGAATACTTGGTAGAAACACACGCAAAACCCCAACTGTCATAGAGACAGATGGAAGAATATACACAAAACCAACTGATATACTGAATACTTCAATGAATATTTTATTAACAAAGTGGATAGTCTCACACAGGGAGGTGACATAGACCTAGACGGTATAACAGCACCGATTGAGGACAAAATCATGGCATCCAAGAACTGTGCCTTTTCTTTTCAAGAAGTAACAGTCTGCCAAGTCCAAAAGTTACTTCACTCTCTTCCATTAAGTAAATCCAAAGGAATTGATACTATCGACAACACGTTACTAAGAATCTCTGCAGACTACATATCAGGACCTCTGTGCCACATTTTCAATTCTTCATTCAGACAGGGAATATTTCCTACTCAGTGGAAACAGGCTAAGATCATCCCTCTCATAAAAAAACAAAAGTCAGATGGACCCAATAGCCGTCCTATCAGCCACTTACCCGCAATAAGTAAACTGATGGAGAAGATATGTAATCACCAAATTCATACTTACCTTACCTCCAATGACATTCTATCCCACAGCCAGCACGCATATAAACAGTATCACTCTACATCAAGTGCCCTAGTTCAGATGTCAGATAGATGGCTGGAGGAAATTGACAAAGGCAATCTAGTGGGTGCCGTTCTTCTGGATTTCAGCGCCGCATTTGATGTTGTTAATCATGATATCTTACTTGCTAAATTGAAATGTTATGGATTTGTAGAATCTGCTCTTGGTTGGCTCAGAAGTTACTTGACTAACAGAACCCAGACTGTGTTTGTAAATGGAAGTCTATCGTCACACAAAGAGTGCAAGAGCGGCGTTCCTCAAGGAAGCTGCTTAGGCCCTTTACTCTTCTGTATTTATACCAATGATCTCCCTACAGAAGTAACACATTCAGACATAGTGATGTATGCCGACGACACAACTACTTCTGCGTCAGGTCCAAGTGTAGCAGTAATACAACGCAAACTACAGTCTGATTTGACACATGTATGGAATTTGGTAGAAGCAAATAGACTAGTTCTAAACGTGGGCAAAACCAAGACTATTGTGTTTGGTAGCCGTCACAAACTGAAACAAAACACAAACCTAAATCTTACCATGGGCAATCAAACAATAGAACAAGTAGAACAGGCAAAACTTCTTGGCGTTTTGATGGACCAACAGTTATCCTGGGATCTACAACTTGATAAAGTTAAGTCCAAAATGTCAGGTGCGTTCACTTGGCATCTCTCAAGAAATCAAAAGACTTTCTCACTAGTGAAATTTTAAAGATAGTGGTGCAGTCACTGGTGCTTGGTCACTTGGACTACTGCTCGTGTTTACTGTCTGCAGGATCACAATCAAAACTCGACAAATTACAAATTATCCAAAACAGAGCAGCTAGACTGGTGTTAGATGAACAGTACAACTGTAACACAAACACTATGCATGAAAGGTTGAACTGGCTATCAGTGAAAGGAAGACTGTACAAAAACACGTTAATGATGTTCAATAGAATTTTGATAGCGGAAAAACCAGAAGTGATCTACGGCTGGTTACAACGAATAGATATTTCTCATGGCCATAGCACCCGACTAGCGACAGGAGGTGGCTTAAGACTGCCTAAACCAAAGACAACCGCAATGGAAAGAACATTCGTTTACAGATGCACAAAATCTCACAACAACCTCACACCACACGCCAGCTGGTCTACCACACCAACACTATTCAAGAACATCTTAAACGACATGATAACTCGTAAGATAGATACAAACAAACCCTTAAAGCACTGGTGGTAAGGTACTGACACAAGCAAGGAGCTGTATATATTATCATTGTATCTGACCTCTGACCTCCCAATGTCAATGTCGTGTTGCTTTGTCGTGTTGCTTTGTAGTTGTAACTGTTTATTGTTCTGTAGTTTTACGCTAGTTGTAGTCTAATGGATGCAAGTGTTATGTTATGTGCCTTAATTTGTATTATATTTGTGTGCCTTGTTTTTATGAATCCAGGAAGAATAGATTAGATTTGATATCTAATCTAATGGATATCTAATAAAACATCAAAACATCAAACATCAAACATCTTAAAAATTCGGCCCCATACATTATACATGGGGATGAAACATATGGTACTATTTATCGACCCCTCCCAATATCTGCTTGAAGGAAACCACCCCCCCCCCCGCTATTCCAAATAACGGGTTTTTTCTGGACCATTCTAATTTGCCTCATAATTGTAGGGGTGCATCTGAAATTTTCCATTGACCGCGAAAACAGCTACGGCAAAAATATAAATTTGTGCATAATCACGGTCATGCCCGCAGACGGCGTATAAAATTGCATGCCGATTAAACAAAGAGAACCCCGTGTTCTACCTGCGAACACGAAAAAAAACGGCTACCCAAAATACTCCGTCCGGAGGTCATGACCTCCTTCACGGAGTAACAACGCGAGGCGGACGGCTGTTTCAAATTACCGACCCAACTCCACGTCTGCCTCCAGTCAACTGGCCCGACCCGCTATTCAAAGCCATAGGCCATTTCAATTTGCCTCATAAATGTAGGGGTGCATCTGAAACATTACATTGACCGCAAAATCAATCACGGGCATGCCAGTAGACGACGTATAAAATTACACTTGAGTGTGCCGTCACCACGTCTTATGATTTGATGTAGGAATATACAAAAAAAATAATGGTTACTGTTTTCTGTGCAGAGCGGCAGGACTCCCGAGAACATAGCGGCTAGTACACACGTTCAATTCGGGCCTAAAGTTCGCATCCTTGAGGGAAGGAAGAAGGTTCTCGATCTTTTTGCAGTAGAAAAGGCCGGTCGGTACGTAAAATCCGTTTAGGTATGCACTATCAATAATGTGTGATCAAGAAAGGATGAGAAAGCAACTATTGAAAAGTTCATTTTTATACAGACATGACATGTTTATTGTTGGCAACCGCCTGTCTGTACGATGTTTATACTTTACGTCAAGTGTAGAGTACAACAAGTTAAGTTACTTATTAAAACTGTATGAGCATGGACATTTGATACACATCCAATTCGTGCTAAGCAATATTCAAGTATGTATAATGAAATTCTATATTCTGTCACAGCCCTTACGTACACAAGCTCAAAGTGGGTCCAGAAGGAGGTGAACTACAAACCGCGTATTGCACCGTCTCTGTACCTCGTGGGGCCGTTGCTATGGAAACAGAAATCACCTGTCAGGTCATCAACCCCAATGACGTCACTTTCCCCCTGAAGGGCGGAGAGATGCTAGTGAGTGACGTCATAGAGCTGGGACCGCACGGGACAACCCTACGCAAACCTGTCACTGTGCAGATGCAGTACAGCAGTGCATCGTCAGGTGGCCCTAGGGATACTGCCGTGTGGGTCACCGAGGACAGGTCACAATGGACGGAACTTAAAACCACTAAAGAAGTACGTTGACAAACATGATATTCTTTGAGAGCGGTGGACATTTCATGCCAAATACTGTAGCAAAGAAATAGGCTTTATAATTCGCCGATACATAGACAAACCATAGATGTTTTCCATTGGAAAGACTACTGATACCTGATCTTGGCCGTCCTTTATACGTCACAACTACTGTATTTCTGTATTTCCTTTCAGAGAAAAGGTAAGCTTGACGTATCAGTGGACCATTTATCCATCTTTGCCGTCATCAGTCAACCTAAAAAGGACCGGTTTACTGTGCATTCAGAAGGGTTTAAGCTGACGTCATCAACACAGCCTTCGGTACAAATCAGCTTCCCGGAACAGGCTGTGGACACAGACACACAAGTCAAACTAGAGGTATGAAGATTGGTTACGTATCTGGAGAAGATGATGCCAATATCACTGAAGTGCAACAGGCCCAATGAATACTCGTCTCTCTCTCTCTGTCTCTCTGTCTCTGTCTCTCTCTCTCTCTGTCTCTCTGTCTCTCTCTCTCTCTCTGTATCTCTCTGTCTCTGTCTCTCTCTGTCTCTCTCTCTCTCTATATATATATATATGTATGTGTGTGTGTGTGTTTGTGTGATGTATATATTAAATAAGTCTATACCATCAGACGAGTATTAAATTGGAACTGCTGTATGGATGTAAGTAAGCATGGCAACATGTCCAGTTCTTTCGGAAAGCAAACAATACATAATTATCATTATTGTCCCAAACTTCATATTGCAAGTTATCATGTCTGTTCGCTTCTCATTTTTCGTGACATGTGGAAGTCATTTGGTAAAGAAGTTATATCCGTCTATCTATCTATCTTATATACTATATCCTAACGTTAGGTGCAAGAAGTTCCAGAAAGGGCGGTTGACGAAATCAAGGCTTCCCGCGGTCTTGTCGGCACGACCCCGATAGTCAAGGTGGAAACTGTGTCTGACTCTGCAGTCAAGTTGCAGAAACCGGTCACAGTGCGAGTCCCACATCCTCAACACTACATGGACATCCAACACGAGGGACCCACCAAACTGAGGGTGATGTCACGAAAAGAAGAGGGAGAAGATTGGATAGATGTGACCGATGACGTAGATATTCATCACACGCCACAGCTCGTGGAGGCTGCAGTGCATCATTTCGCAAGGTGCTTTGTAGTATTTTGTTTAGATTAGCCTTTTTGTGTTTATGTTTTAGTGAATAGAGACATAAATATTCTAATTTTCAAGAGCCTAAAAATAAATTTCAGCCGCAATGGACATTGCCATTGGTTAGATTTTTTTTTGTTTTGTCGTTTTTTGTTTAGTTATATCGTAATACTTGTTGACGACGAATGCGGTGACCCAAAAGAAATCGGCCAAACCATGCTGGAACTCTGCGAATGGCTTCAAAGGTTTGACGTTCAATTCATAGTACTACAGCCGGAGTCGCAGCCGAACCAAGTTCTGGTGCAGTGTAGCAAAGACACTGAGGCAGAGGAGAAGCATGCACAGCTGCTACAGAAGGGGTACACGGGACTTGAACCAAGCGACACAGTAAGGCTGTTACAAGGTCAAAGGATCAAAGTCAGCTTAGTCGGCAACGTGTCATTTGCACCAAATGACCAGGGCGTCACCGCCGACAAATACATCACCTTTCACAGTTACCGCAAAAATCTTCGCCAATTTGTGGTGAAAGCTGAAAAGGACCGAGGAGGTTTAGCAGGACATGGCGTCGTTGCGTTTTATGAGTTGCCCCACGTTGTCGTCACAAAAGAGAAAGGTGCGTTGGTTCGTCGCGCTCTCCAGGAAGGAGAACCTGGGGGAGAACTGAAGCGCCCACGCAAGCTGTGTGAGATCCCCATCCACGTGCCCTACATGCCTTCGCCTCCTCACTCACCCACGTCTTCACAGATTGTGACACCGGTATGTTTCTGCTTCTATCGACAGTTGCAAACGTTTTTTTTTTCGTTCATCAAATTAGATCAGACAGTTACTTTGACTGACGAACGACTGTCATTGGCCATTGAAGTTGACTCCAATTGTGGAAATCGCTTTGATGTTGGAGTTTTTGACTTCAATGCAAACAAAACAAGGACGTCAAACAATTCAGTTATTGATAGAAAAAATATTGAAGATTAGGCGTAAAGCAGACACGTATTTTTTCAGCGTCCTGAAGACTTTGTCACCAGTACAGCAACTGAAGGTATGATCATAGCAGACCTTACAGGTGCGTAAATGGCGTACTAATACCAGTTTGGCATTTTAGATTTCTTGTGGTAAAGATAATGCTTAGCTTTTCTACAGAACCATGCCGTCTTCTTATATATCTTTAGCCCAAAGGCAAGACAGCACAATCCTGAAGTTAACTAACCTTGCATCTCTGCATATATGTCACTGTGTTTTCTGTGTTTTATGTTTCCTTCACAGCTAAAATTAATATCTCTTAAATTGTAATTATCAGCCGAACCTCAGCATGCAAGGAACCCGTGTTCACGCTGCTGTATGTGGATCACGCTGTGGTGTGGGGGTGAAGAAGCACCTGGAGGACAGGGATATGTCGTAAAGAAGAGTGGCCGAGGTATTTCAAAATTACTCATCGAGTTTAGTGCAACAACTCTGCTAGCTATGATACTTTGAGAAGTCTCATATCAGAGATAACAATATTTGGTCCTTTTGTTCTCTTTTTTAGGAGTTCGCAAATACTTCTTCTTCATAAAGGATAATGTAAGCTCCAACTGGAAAGATCTGTCCTTTCATCTTGGGTTCAACGCAGCAGACGAAGATAACATTGCCGGCAGAAACCGAGACGACAAGTCCCGCTGCATGGACATGCTGCAGGATTGGCAGAAGCGGGAAGGAAACAAAGCTACCATAGAGGTGCTGATCGACGCCCTGGAAAATGCAAACTTAAGGCTTGTTGTTGATGGCCTCAGGGACGAGTTTCCAGGTAATGTGTTATAATTTTTTTTACATTTAAACGCCTTCATCGGGGTTGTGTTTTTGCTCTGGTTGTACGTTTGTTTTGGTGAACAATCTCTATAATTATATAGAATGGAAGTTGGTGTCAGTCGGTAAATAACATTATTTATTTTCCAACTAAATATATATATATATATTTAGTTGGAAAATAGAATGTAAGCTCCAACTGCTAACTTTGATACATATATATATATTGGACTTGGAGAATAGTTTGAATAGTCTCAATATAGTTTGAATAGTCTCTATATCTCTTTATGTTGTGGATGGACTGACATGTAAAGTTACATATCATGCTATATTAAATGCAACTTAATCTCCTTTGGCAGAACTTCAGTGATATGCGATGCAAGCTCCCCTCTGAAGATCAAGTGAAAGGACCGAAGAATGGCTTTCAGAAGACGCCAGCCTAGTACTGAACTTTTGCATACACTAATGTGAACAAACTTGTAATGATTTGTATAAACGTACATAATCTGCAAAGCAACCCACTCTAATTCCCTAGCCTTATTACATACACACACACACACACACACACACACACACACACACACACACACACACACACACACACACACACACACACACACACACACACACACACACACACACACTAGTAGT